AAACCAGGGCAGGGAGCTGCTGCAGGCGCTGCAGTGGGGCGTGCGAGGGGGGAGGCGGGGCGCTCCTGGCCAGGCCTGAGCACAGCCCGCTGGACAAGGAAGGGGGCAGAGAGGGGTCACAGCCTGCACCCTCTCTCTCCCAGGGCAGTCGCCGCGGCCCCCCAGGAGCCAAGTGCAGAGCTGTCCCCCTTCTAGGGGGTGTCGTGCACAGGTCTCCAGGCTGGGGCCCAGCCTGTGGCCGAGGCTGTGGCAGTCCGGGAAACACCCCCATTTAGGACCCCAGGAAGAGGGCTGGGAGGCTGTGGCTGCAGGATGGGGAGGCGAGGGCCCGTCCAGGTGGGGAGGGAGCCTCCTGACTCGGCGGCGCCGTATTGAAACAACAAGCAGCCGGTAATTAGCCACAGCAGAGAGCAGTCCCCGGGGCGGCCACTTTCCGTAACGAACCCCCTCCCCCCGCCTGTCCCCCGCCTGCTGGCTCTCTGGTTTGCTCACCCCCGATCAGGGCTTCGTGGGGCCTTGTCTCTGTGTCCAGGGACAGACCTGGCCAGAGTGGGGAGTCACCGGCACACAGGCTCCTGAGGGCCACACAGCTCGGGAGCTGCCCCCGACTGTACCTACTCCAGGGGACCCAGAGGAAGGCACAGCCCCTCCATAGCTCCTACGGGCCTGGATCGCGGGGCCCCAGGGGACACAAAACCTCCCTCTACCCCCTCAGAGCAGGGCCCCGAGTCCACTGCCCCCCAGACGTCCCCAGGCTGGTCCACTCCTCGCTGAGCTCAGCCTGGCCTCAGGCCCCGAGGCTGTGCAGGGAAGAGCTTCTGGAGGCATCAGTGACCTCTGACCCTCCAGCCCTCTGACCTCCAGACCCTAGCACTTTGTCAAGACACCCACCCACCCAATACCCTCTCTGGGTGTCTATGTTTGCGTGGGGGTGAGGCTGGGACACCCCTGGCTGATGGGCACCGTGCTTTGGGGAAACCGAGGCATTGCTCACTAACCCCCAACCTGGAGGCATTTGCAGTTGGATGGGAGCGGGAGGAGGGCTCTTGGGCACTGACCCGTCTCAGGCTCCTGCCCTGACCTCTACCCCCATCTTGTTCACTCGGTCACCAAGCGCCGGGTGGGGCTGGTCAGGACTTCCTGGCTCAGCCACGTGGGTGGGGTCGGGGCTGATGGGCATGGCCTTGCCAGTTCAGAAGCTCCCAGGGGTGGCCAGAGGGAGCCACATCCAGTGTCCACAGAGCCCCTGAGTGCTGGGACGTGGGGGGACTGACGGGGGACGGTCATGTGGAAAGCGGTGGCCCTTCACCCTGACCCACAAGGAGGAAGAGCCGCAGTCCGTCCCCCGGCGTGTGGGGACCAGGCGGGGGTTCCTGTGACTCTCTCGTTACCACGGCAGCGCCTGGCTGGGTCTGACTACTCTGGTCCTCTTGCCAGCCTGGTCGGACACCCCGCCAGTTCTAGGCTCCGCCGCAGACTCAGAGCACTGGTCCCAGTCCGTCTGTCTGACTCAGAGAGGAAGGCCAGGCGTGCTCTGCCGGTTTAATAAAGCGGCCGCACTGGGAGCTGCCAGGGGGCAGGATGGGGCTCTGATGGGCCCTGGGGTGCAGAGACCCCCCACATGCTCCTCGCCCACTCTGGGCCTTTCTCTCAAACTCGCTGTCCCATATGAGGCGACCACACTGGCCAAAGCTGGATCCTGGAGGCATGTTCTTAGCCCGGACACGAGAAGGCCAGGAAGCACCTGAGCTTCGGCTGAGGGGAGGCCAGCCCTCAACCCAAGCTGCTGGTGGAGGTGGAGGTGCTGCAGGTGGAGGTGGAGGTGGTGGAGGTGGAGGTGCTTCAGGTGGAGGTGGAGGTGCTGCAGGTGGAGGTGGAGGTGGAGGTGGAGGTGGAGGTGCTTCAGGTGGAGGTGGAGGTGCTGCAGGTGGAGGTGGAGGTGGAGGTGGAGGTGCTGCAG